CATCATCCAAACTTAGCAGCTTTTGATAAATTTTAACGAAAAGGAACAATGTGATTAACGGAACGTAATTTAAGGGATTTAAAACGAATGTTTATTAAATAAATGACGAAAGTAAAATCTAAAATTAACTTAAAGGACCAAATGATGCATTAAGCCTTATTATTATTATAAAATATGTTATGAAAAAACGAATGGAATAATTCAAAACACTTAAGAAGAATTATTCAAAGTTTTAAACACATCAAATAATTTAATGTGTGGTCGTTACTAAAAAAACATATTTAATCTCGAACACAAAGTGGATTTAACCTCGATTACACAAGCGAGCTAACAAAGAACAACATGAAAACTTGCCACTTTACCCCTTGATTTTGAAACAACCAGGGGGTAAAGTGTTTGCACATGTGTTTAATGTCCAACGACTACATTTTTATTATTTTCAAAACTAGATGGCGCACCCAAAATTTGCTCTCGATTGAAAGTAAAATTAAGGTAATAGAGCAATATTATTACCTAAGTTTGTAATATTAACCAAGGGAAAAATATTATTATTTAGTTTTTATTTTTCTATTTTATCGTACAAATATGTATTACACAACCATATTTTACCCATTTCTGAAACAGAAACATGTTACATTTTGCTCATTTCTCAAATAGAAATATTGTACAAAAAATATTCATTGTTTACATTATTGAAAAGTCAAAATGACACACACCTTATAATTTTAAAACAGAACTAAAATAAATGATTAACCAAAAAAGCAATACTAAAATGCAAAGTTGTAGGTTGTTCAAAAATTCTCTTTTATGATTTGTCATTGATCGTTTTGCACATATAATTTAAACAGCATTGAAAACCAATTAGGATCATCAACAACATTAAATTTTTAGTAAAAAGAATTTAAAAATAAATAAAATGAATAAATATATATATATTATTAAATGATATAAAACATTTACTTACTAGTTTTTTAATATTCCCTCTTGATGATCATAACGAATTGTATGCATATCATCTTAATCATTTTTTTTTCATATAACAGACTTACATGTGTCATGAAAGAAGGAGTCTCAATTTAAATCTTGATTTTCATCACTATAAAAAATATATTAGAATGATCAGTGACATAAAAAAATTATTTTGCTAAGAATGTCATGATGAATGGTTCGTTCAAATAGGTTACAATTCATATTCTAACATACATTAAATCTTGTTAACAGAATTCACTTGGCAAACATGGAATCCAAAAACTGAGAGAATATTGCTTCAAATTTGCTCAAAGCTCAAAGCCAAGTATGGAATCACATTTTCAACTTCATAAACTCTGTGTCACTTAAATGTGTTGTTGACTTAGACATACTAGATATCATACACGACTATGGCAAACTCATGTCACTTTTAAAACTCATTTCTTCACTACTAATACACTCTTCGAAATAATCCAATATCCCTCGCTTGATGCTAACTGTTGTATGAGTATATGCTAACTGATGTATCCATATTACTTCTTATGGACAATCAAATGAGTGTAACACCATTCGTGCAGGCGATGCTCAACCTGAGAATGACAAATCTATGGCATCAATTGTCTACTTGGTTAAAAAGCTGAGTCAAGTCTGAGAAAATAGACCCTTATAAGAAAGAGAAAGCGTTATCACTATACGAAATATCGGCCTATTCACTCAGCTAGGAAATAAGACTAACAAAATTTCCCTATTCACTGAACCCAAAAATTGATGATCTTACACCATTTGAAAAACGCATGGAATGGCAGTATGGGAGTATGCAGCACATGAGCCGAAATATAGCAATTTGATGAATGATGCAATGGAGAGTGATGTTCAGTTGGTCAATAATGTGTGAAGGTGAGAAAAATACATAAGAAAGGGGTTGAATTGTGTTTTGCAAAAATAGATTTACTTCTAAACTAGAGTTCAGATTCTAAAAACTGAGTTCAAAATCTGATGAGGTGCAGCGGAAATAGAGACAGAAGTAAAGTAAAAATAGCAAAGAACACACAGCAGTTATCCTGGTTCCTCTCCCAACTGAGAATATTTCAGTCCCCTTTCTAAGCAAGAGATTTTCCACTAAAATCAATTGGATTACACTTGCTTATACACACTTGTATAAGACTTTTCTTTTTGCTCAAACCACTTGTCCAAGACTTCCCTTGCTTAGAGCTCGTGTCTAAGATTTCACTCTGCTTAATCAACTCATGACCGTGACTTCTCTTACTTAGACCGCCTACCTAAGATTTCACCTTACTTAGAGCTCGTGCCTAAGACTTCACCTTGCTTAACCAGCCTCTAATTAAGACTTTCCTTTGCTTACAGCTCGTGTCTAAAACTTCACATTGCTTAACTAGTCTCTGATTAAGACTTTCCTTTATTTAGAGCTCGTGTCTAAGACTTTACCTTGCTCAAGCCTACAACAAGAGACTTTAATCTAAACAGATAGTTTAGATAAGGAATAACTTACAATAACACTTGATAAAATATCAGATGTGTTCAAATAATACAGCACACTATTACAAAAATTCTTAATCAACACAAGAGTAAGAACTCTTAACAGACTCAGCTTTGTGAAAGTAGTGCGTGTATTTCTTAGTTGTATTTGCAGCGTTATTTCTTGGTGATCTTCAAATCTTCAGCTCCTTTTTATAGCCAGGGAAAATAAAGACGTTGGAGATCTTCAACGACTACAAATAGAACCAAGTCTTCTAGTACATCTTATTTTTCCATAAAGCAAGTGTTGGAACTTACAGTCACAAGAGTATACATGAAACAAGGCATTTGTCCAGAGGATACAACTTTGATTCAAGTACAACACAGCCTGTAAAAGATAATGTTAATAAATCTTGAGTCTCGTGTTAGCAGAACTGACATGACATTACTCAGCATCAGAGATAGCATAGCACACTTCTGAGCTGGAGTGTACTAGTAACTGCTTTTTTGATCATACGTCCTTGAGAGAACGTGATCAGAATCGAACCAAAGCAATTTCAGTGTCAGAACTAGTTCCATCAAGTAAATATAGTTCTGCACAAACAAACTAGCTAGTTAGAAATCCTAATTGTTTTTTAAAATACTTTGTTATCATCAAAACCTTGGAGGATTCATGGTATGAACCAAACTTGTTTCAACAATGTGGTGATTGAGAAGTGCAAGAGAATGTTCAATGGATTAGAGTCATTAGTCGATATTGGAGGAGGCACAGGGACCATGGCAAAGGCCTTTGCCAAATCATTCCCACAATTGTAATGCATTGTGTTTGATCTCCCACATGTTGTTGATGGTTTGCAAGGAAATGATAACCTTAGTTATGTTTGTGGAGACGTGTTTGAGAAAATTCCTTCAGTTGATGCAATTTTATTGAAGGTAAACTGTGATATCATTAGGGGTTACAAAACAGGTTAGGTCCGTCAAGTCCGCCCGTTTAACCCACCATTTTTGGCAGGTTGGGACGATGTTTTCGGCTCAGCGTCTTAAGTTGACTCACTCTGCCTAACCCATTTTTAAAACGAGGTGGGGCAGGACAGATTTTGCCCACGTACTTTTTTGTTAAAAAGATTTATTTTTTATTTGGAATTAAAACAATATTAACGTGATCCGTAGTAAACATACTTTTAAAACAACCCTCGTTTCTTCAAACCCTAATGTTCATTTTTCACATAACCACAAACACCTCATTTTGAAGACATTAATTGGTCTCTGCTTCTTTATTTATTTTCACTCATAGTAGAAAAAGTCTTTATTACAAAACATAAAGATTACTCGTTATCATTGGAGCCTGATTCTAAAGCTATAAGGTAAATTTTGTACAAAGGGGTTCATATCTCATTAATATATAAAGTTTTGATTTGTATTTTATTCTATTTGAGTTCTCATTTTATTTATTTATTGACACAAATGCTCAACTAAGTGCTTATTATTTGTATTGGTAATTTTTAAATAATGAAGCTTTGATTTTTCTTAAATTGTTTAATTTTTTAGAGATTTCCATTATTATATATTGATAAATCTACTTAGTTGTCTTTGTTTAACTTGTACTAGTTTGTTTTCTTGATTTATGTTCCTAAATGTCCTTACCTAAGTTGTGCTAGTTGAGTTTTTGAACCAAAAGGATTATTTTGGGATTTTAGTGTGTTTATTATAAATTATAGTTACGTTTTTATATATGTTAAAAGAATATGACATTTACATTAAGACTTGTTAAAGTATTTTACTATATGTTTGTTAAAATTTGTCAGTTTCTTTAGTAATGATTATCAATTTTATAAATTATATAATAAATCAAATTGTAAAAAAAAAATAGTAGGTCAACCCGTCAACTCATTAATATACAAGACCGATTTGACTTTTGAACTCGGACGCCTAATTTGACCCGTCTCACTCCGCTTTTGGACGGACTTAAATAGGGCAGGTCGCCCGCTTTGCCAACCCCATATATCATAGTTTATATCACAATTTTATTGATATATGCTCTAAAACTTAGTTGCAGTCTATTTGTACCATAAGTTTGTTAATTTCCTTCAAATGATTTTGATATGTATTACTTTGGATGCCAATGAATGACAAAACAGTGGATATTGCATGACTGGAATGAGAGGAATGTGTAAAAGATATTAAAGAATTGTAAGGATGCAATTGCGAAAAAGGGTAAAGAAGGGAAGGTGATTATCATTGACATGGTGGTGGAGAAAGATAAAGAAAATGGTGAAACAGTTGAAACTCAACTCTTCTTTGATATGCTCATGATGGTGTTAACTACTGGAAAAGAGAGAAACAAGAAAGAATGGATTAAGTTGATTTTCTCTGCCGGTTTCAGCGACTATAAGATAACTCCAATAAGATAACTCCAGTATTGGGCATAAGGTCTCGTCATAATCAAGGTTTTACCTTTTAAGCACATTTTTGTTCTGTATAATATATATATTATCAATTTGAACATGATTAGATCAGTTGAACATGAGCAATACCTTAACAACTGAATACATGTACTATACATCTGATGTCGGTTTCGCCTTGAAATTTACCTTCCATGTCCTCCAAGCCTCTCTAACTTCATCCAATTGATCATCTGGAATGCTCGAATACTTATCCAATTTCTCAACCCAATCCGCCCAAGGAGACTTTGACGAGTCAAGGAACTTTGACAATTCAGGCAACATAACAGATGAGTAGAACTCGTTGACGGATTTAAGAATTTGTTCTGATTCAACCATGGACACCATTTCAGGCCTTGTGTAGCTTCCACCACTTGACCTCATTCTGAAAGCATTTCCTCTCAAAATCAAGACTTCTGGTGGGGCAATGGGGAGGACTATTCGGGAAAACTTGAGGAGTGACAATGAAAAGATGTCTGTTGGAATTAACTTGCGCTTTACAGCCACAGCAGTCCCAACCATCTTGCGTATCTGATGAGTCATTCAGTAAGTGTGCATTCAACCGATAGATACGCCATGTAAATTAAACTCTTATTAGGAAATAAAACAAAGCAAAACTTACTTGATGTAGCATGAAGGAATCGCCCCATACATTGATCTCAACGTATCGATATCCAAGAAGTGTCTCCAACTTCCCACAAGAACAACGTACCACCTTTCTAAAATGAGAAGCACTTAATCGATCTGCCTCATCCGGTTCATGCAACCATCTTGCGCGAACTCCTAAACTAGAGTTTTGATTATTCAAACTATTTGATTCACTAGACTCTGGACACTTGTGGCTTTGTTCCTCATCATCGCTCAAAGAATCATCGACATCACTTTCGTCATTCTCTGAATCACAGGCTGATACCAAACTAGATGATGATCCCGTTCTCCTCGACATGTCACCATTTTTTGGTGATTTCCTTTCATGGTGTTTTTTCCTGTATATAGACCGAACAGTATAATTATGGAAAGGATGGTCTCCCTACATCAAAAAAGCCACAAAAATGTTCCAATGTAAACATTTAGGAGAGGTTCATCATGACTGTAACTAAATTAAATTTGCAAGTATAATAGAATATTGTTAATTCTACAATAACGAAAGAAAATACAAATGAAAAAAAAAAGTATACCTCGAAAACACTAAGTATACTGTTGAACTCGGAAATGTGAAAATCCACTTCATCCTCACTAAAATGACTCTGGATTCCTATTATATCAGCAGGGAGGAGGTAAGAATATTTCCGCAGATTGCACTCTCTTCTAGGATCGAATCCTCTAAAATAAGCCAAAACTATGAAGTTAGAAATATGAATGAGAAGTCATCGTCAATTAAAAATAAAGGAACGCTATTAATTATTGAGTCAATTGAAAAATCAATCATGATCAATAGCTCAAATAATGAGACGGAAAAAAAAATCACTTGTTTAATTATAAAAGCACATGCCTCATGCAATGTATATTGTATTGCAACTAGATGATTAAGATATGAGAAACTAAATCATTATCGAATAAAATCAAAAATCAAACATTTTAAACAATCAACAGGTGACTAATAGTCTTACTTTGTTGAAGGCAATACACTAAAAACTCTGATACTATTAGGAAGACAAGAATTAATGTAGTTTGCCATTTCAATGCCATGATCATCTCCTTTCCATGCGTTCTCAGGGATTTCCATCTTAAAGGATATCATTGTTGACAGAGAGTGAACCTAGCATACACACATCATAAAAGCATAAAGAAATCATGAGAGTGAAAAATAGAATAACAACAAATTCATGTAATACACCCTCTGGTCTTATTTATAAAAAAGTTATTTTTTAAATTCATAGAATATGCAATGTATCTATCTATATATTATTCAAATTCATTAATTATTCAATGTATCTAAAAAGTAAATGGTTTCTCATAAATAGAACCAGAGTATTACATAACTAAGGGGATAAGATAACAAGAAGGTTAGTTACTCCTTTATCAGTCCTGCTACTTCGGCCCCATTTAATCTTATCCAAATCACCGAAGTTACTATCACGAATGCCACCGACCTTGAAGATAGCAGTTTCAAGTTCTTTCTCAATAGCTACATCATGTCAAAATTCAAATGCTTTAGCAAACTCCATTCTCAATAGTTGCATTAAACTTTGATCATATGAAAAAGGCATAATAAAATCTCACTAATGTGAACCCAAATCACAAACATTAGTCAATTTCAATACAATTTCCAAAAAGTTCACACACAAATTAAAACCAATGTTACGCAATCAAATCAAATACAATGAAGCACAATAGAAAACAAGTAAAGAGTAAAGGTCTTACTGGATAATTTGTGTTCATTCCGTTGAATTTGCAAACCTGAAAACCAAAATCAGCAACACAAATTAGCTTCAAATTTCAACAACAAAAAGTAAGAGAGAGAAAAAAAACCTCTAAAATCTGTTCCAATATATCCGACTCTCATAACGACTTTTTTCTTGAGAAAGGGTTCCCATTTGTCAGGGGAGAGCGGAGGAAGGGAGTGTGTGGTGGAAGAACAGAAGCATTTGAAGAGCGTTTTTGGAGGGAGAAGATAAAATGGGACATTAGGGTTTCGAGTTGGGGAGAGAGGGAATGGCAGAGAAGTGAACGGCATTGATGAAAATGGAAGTGAAAGTAAACTGGGTGAAGGAAAAGCACAAAGAGAAGACATCAAAAATTTCTGAAATTCAGTTTCATATTATATTATTTTTGGTCTTATATAGAATACTCCTTGGTATATCAATTAAATCCTTCTTATAATATAACTGGTTTTTAAAAATGAAAAATCATTTAAAATAATTGGATTAAAGATAAACTCACACCCAATCTACAAAATTTATGGGTATTGAGTGATTATTTTTAGTTATTTTTTATAATTTGATGAGTAATAACTTTGATGTCTTTAATCTTTGTTGTTTCAATTAAAACCTTTTGAACATATTTTATTTAGTTATTTTTTATAATTTGATAAGTGATGACTTTGATGTATTTAATCTTGATTGTTTCAATTACAATCTTGTAAACATCTTTTATTTTATAAATAATTATTTTAATTTATTTAAAATGTTGAATTTTAATTATTTTGATGTTAATTCTAGTAACTTTTAAGTATTTTATAAATTTTAAGTATTACAAAAATAACGATAGATTAAATTATTTATTAAAAAAGTAACCACTATCCGACTCAACTCAATCAACAAATTTGTGAATAGTAATTTATGAATGGTGGTTTTTGTTTTTTTGCGCAATAATATTGCAATAATGTACCCATAAATAATAAGTGTGTCGGACTTTTGAAAAACGACATTCCTATAGTATTAAAAATGGCATACTTATAAATAGTTTTGTTTTTGTCCTATACATATATGTTATTGACTAAAAAAAATAACTCTTGTAACATATTTTCCACGAGTAATCACAAATAAACTTTTAGTTATTATATTCATATCATAATTTCTTCATAGATTCAAGTATACTCTAGACCTGCCTCGAAATGAGAATCTTGTGTATCAGAAAATATCTGACCATTGATCCATAACATAGTCTTTGCTATTATGAAATTTCAATTTTAATTGTTAGTTTATATTATGCCTATGGTTGACTAGTTGATGACGAGATAATTAAGATTGATTTTATAATATGTGAGACTTCCGGACTGTGTGGTATAGAACCTTGACAGAAAAAAGGAGTGCATATGATAATTGTACAAAGGCGCTTATTCAAATCCAAAACATCTCACTTATTAACCTATATAATAAGCAACGACTATCTATACTCTGGAATTATTTTACCTTGTGTTCCGGTATGGGCCCAACCTCGGCAGGCCCAATACCACGTCCGGCCCAACAAGCAAATCGAGCGCACCGAGCACGTGCATCTCTCAAGACGGGCAGGGCAGACCGCCAAACACAAGCAACGTCCCAACAACCTTTCATCGTCCACCACACCGGACGAGCAGAACCGTCCCCGGCTCACCAAAGCGCGGCCCTTGGCTCCTCCCCTCCGCGGGGAGAACAACGCTCCCCGGGGAACCTCCCCTCCGCGGGGAGAACAACGTACCCGGCGCACGTTCTCCACGTGCTCCCCTCCGCGGGGACACGTCACCGGCCAACTGCCCACCTCTGAAAGAGCAGGTCAAACCCACTTTCCGGAGATCTAGGAGCGGTTGAACTAGGGCGAAGACCACGTCCTGGTCTTCACTACGCCACGTAAGCCCTAGCAGTCATTAGGGCTGGGCCTGGTCATCCAGCCCACCTCAAATAACCGTTGGCCCAGCGTTGGGGTCTCTCTATAAATACCCCCTTCCTCAAGAGGGTCAGGTAACGCTTCTTGCCCCCTTTTTCTGTACTATTGCTTCCACTCTGCCCAACTTCTTACTTTGGCATCAGAGTGTCTTGCAGGTACACCCCCCTCCTCCTTCTCACCCGGTGAACAGGTAGCAGCCCAACAGAGTGTGGCCAGTTCGTGATCCCCTCCTGATCAGGTCAGATCAGTGGCGCCGTCTGTGGGAACTCTGAAACTTCCCCGTTACTCCGAGCAGAAAACCAAAAGTTTCACCAAACCTCCACGATCATGGCTAGCCCACACCGCGACGACACTCCGCACGACCTGGCGCTCAACGTCGCCACCAACGGAAAGCAGACAGGAACGGCACGTCCGACGGAAGCCGATGAAAGGGACGGGCAAACTGCTTCACCATCATCCGCGGAACGGCCCCTTCAGGCCGATCTCCGCCCCCCGAGCCCGCCAGCTTTCCACCCCGTTCCCATCCCGGCGGGAGCAGATCCGACGGTGGTCGCTCTCTTTACGGCCATCAACCAGACGAACCAGCTGTTGTTCCAACAAAATGCGAGAATTGGAGCATTAGAACGCATCGGCCCTCCGAGATACCCCCAGCGGGAAGACCAGAACGGAGGTTTGAGGAGCCCCTCACCTCGACCCAGGAACCGCCGACCGCGGCTGGAGAGACACCGCCCGTAGGCGACACGAGAACGCACCAGATCCCCGACGAGACACGTTCGCGGGAGGAACCAGAACGCCGCGACGATCCCAACCGAGGAACCCCGAGGCGAGAACTCAGGCAGGAGATCGAGGACCCGAAACCCGGGGCACACCGTGAACGGCTCATCTCCCCACAGATCCCCGGCGCACAGCGACGAGGATGACTACCGCACCCCGCTATCCCGGAAGATCATGGCTGCCCCCATACCCCAGGGGATGGAGAAACCACCGACGCTGTCGACATACGACGGCACCTCCGACCCGGACGATCACCTGGAAGATATCGAGGCTATGCTCGACTACCGAAACGTCCGGGGAGCTATCAAGTGCAGACTCTTCCCGACGACTCTGAGGAAAGGCACTATGACCTGGTACAAAAGTCTGGAGCCCGAATCAGTTACGTCGTGGAGGGTCTTGAAGGACCTGTTCTCCAAACACTTTACGGCGTCCCGACGTCACCCGAAGACGGAAGCAGTCCTCGGGGCAATCATCCAAGGCCCCGACGAACCGCTCCGGAAATACATCGAAAGGTTTACTCGGGAAGCCGTGCAGGTGACAACTTCCGACGAAATGAAACGCTACTTAATGGAACAGGGTCTGCGCCACGACTACAAATTCTACGAGGCCGTAGGCATACACCGGCCCACGTCCCTCCAAGATTTCCTCGACAGAGCCGCGCATTACATCCGATTCGAGGAAACACAAGTGGCCAACTCCGCTCGCGACACTCGAGACAGAGAGGCCCCCCGCGGGCACCGAGACGACGGAGCTTCGAGCCATCGACGAGGAGGAGACCGCCGTCGGGAAGACCGCCCCCGCGAACAACGCGAGCCACGCGGCCGCGCAGGAAGATTCACAGAGTACACAGCCTTGGTCGCTTCGCGCGAACGCATACTGGCCGAATGCGCTAAAACCGAGTTCGTTCAGGGAGGTGTCCGATTTCCACGACCAACGCCGCCCAAACCTAACGTGGACAAGTCAAAATACTGCCGATTCCACAGGACCCACGGGCACGTGACAGAAGACTGCATCCATCTCAAGGATGCGATCGAAATTCTAATCAAGGACGGGCACCTGAAGCGATATACCCGAGGAGGTGAACCACCTAGGCCAGAGGCTCCGGAAGCCAAGAAAATCGAGGAACTTCCCTCTCCAGAGGACAGCAGCAGGCTCCAGGTCGCGTTGTGCGTCAGCCGCCCCGAGGATTGGTTCGCGGGCAGAGAATTCGGCAATCCCGAAGGACCCAACCTAGTCGACGAGCCAATCCGACCAACCAGCCGATGGGAATACTTCCCCAGAGCCATGGTCATCTCTGATGGAGCCACGAGGAGTCTATCCATAGGATCTGTGAAAAGGAAATTCGACGAGCTCATCACGAACAACTCAGGCAAAATGAGCACGCTCGACAGATTCCGAGGCCGCTCCAACCCGATCACATTTTACCTCGAGGAACTACCCGGGGGATCTCCCAATTCCAACATCCCCTTGCTCATACGTGCTCGGATGGCAAACTTCGACGTCAGGCGCCTCCTCGTCGACGGCGGGAGCTCGGTTGACATCATGTACTCACATCTGTTCACAACTCTCCAGCTCGACGAATCCAACCTCTCTCCCTACGTAGGCTCCGACCTTCAGGGGTTCAACGGGACGACGACGAGACCGTGGGGATACGTGGAATTGAAAGTCACCTTCGGAGAAGAGGAAACAGCCAGGGACATCAGCGTCCGTTTCTTAGTCATCGAATGCCCGTCCCTCTATAACTGCATTCTGGGCAGGACGACGATAGCAGAACTCACCGCGGTATCCTCCACCGTCCACCTGAAGATGAAGTACTACACGAGAAGGGGAGTCGTGGTAACCCTCAACGGAGACATCGAAGCCGCTTGAAGATGTTTCAATGCCGCCTTGAAAGGACTAGACTCCATCGCTCCATCGACCAAAAAGAAAGCGTCAAACGCTACGCCAAAAGACAAACCAACGGAGCTGGTCGGATCCGTTGAGCTCGACAATCGCTTCACCGACGAACTCGACAATAAAACAAAGACCGACGGAGTCAACGGGCAACCCTCACACCCAGCGCGCCCCATCCCGGATGGAGAATTCGAACTCATTCCCCTCGGAGAAGACACGGGCAGAACCGTGAGGATAGGCGCAGGACTCCCAGACCTCGCGAAACGCCAGCTCCAAGCCTGCCTCTGTGAGAATGCCGACCTCTTCGCCTGGAGCGCCGCGGAAATGCCGGGACTCGACCCCGAGATCGCCTGCCACCAGCTGTCCATCAACCCAACCGCAAAGGCCGTTGTACAACGCCGACGTCGCCAGTCCCCCGAAAAATCGGCAGCGGCCGAACAAGCTGTAAAAGACCTCTTAGAGGCAAATTTTATTTCGGAAGCCCGGTATTCAACCTGGCTGTCCAACGTTGTACTCGTCAAAAAGAATAATGGAAAATGGCGCATGTGTGTTGACTATACTGACCTCAACCGGGCATGTCCTAAGGACGCCTACCCCCTCCCCAATATCGATAAGCTCGTCGACAACTCGGCGGGCTTCAAACTCTTGTCCTTCATGGACGCGTACTCGGGATACAACCAGATCCCGATGGCCGAACACGATAAGCAAGCCACGACCTTCATGACGGCGTCGGGCAATTACTATTACAACGTGATGCCC